GATCCAAGGAAAGCTCCTTCTGATCTGAGTGGTGCTCACAGTGCATCCTTCTGATTATCATGTGCTTAATCACACAGTCTGTCCTCCAACAAGGAAACATTCAACTTAATCAGAATTTAATTAAGCTCATACGAAGTGTCAGGCACTGTGTAGGAAGAAAGTGAGGGACTCTCTGTGTTTAAGAACACTTTGCTGCAATGAATGATTACATTTATCACTGTGCATGAATAAATTGTCCTTCTGATTTTATTCATTGATCACCTGAGTTTGACGACTGAGCTGGCACCCTACTTCCCGCCAGTGCACACACATACATAGAATTGCTTTCTTTGAGTTGACAAAGCACTGTTGAACCAGAAAGATCAGAGTGGCCCCTGCACTGCAGTCATGAATGCGATCCCAGGGAAAGCTCTGGAAGGCTGCCAGCTGGCCTTTCCTAGTGACCCTCCTCTGCATCAAAGAGCACCTTTCCAGGAAAAGTTCTAGCATTTTCATGAATTAGAAATTGGATAAACCAGGACAGTAAATGAAATGGGAAATCTGTTGAATTCAACACAGTTCCTGGCAGTTTCAAAATAAATCTCTAATGTTTGGTATTTAATTTTGATTCTTTTTTGTTATTTGCTTCCTTTTTCTTCAGAATCTGTTCTGAAAAAAAAAAAAAAACTCACCAAATGAGCACTACAGTACGATTCCATCTTATTAATCATCTCTGGAGTTACGTATTGGAATGTTTTGTTCCCCAATACTCACCTCATTCACTCTCTCACATTATTCTTATTTTCATTCAGTGTTTTTCTCCTCAGAGAAGCCAAACGTCTCTATCTAACAAGGCACCTTCCCTTAATCTTTATCCCTGGACTCTGCCTTTTTTTTTTTTCTTCATAATACTTATTCTTCTTTCAGAAAGTAAATTCACTGGTGACAGGAATTTTGTCTGTTTTCTTTCCTCTTTCCAACCCCACTGCCTGCAGTCATTTTTTGCAACTACAAGTTGAGTGTCCCTATCCATAATGCTTGAGACCAGAAATGTTTCAAACTCTAGATTTAAAATTGTTTTTTTATATTTTGTATATTTTTATGTACCTAATGAAATGCTTTGGAGAGGGAACTTAAGTCTAACCATGAGATTCATTTATGTTTTATATATACCTTATACACATCGTCTGAAGGTAACTTTATGCAATATTTTAAATCATTTTGTGGATAAAGCAAGTTCATGTTCATTGAATGATCAGAGGGCAATGTTGTCATTAACTCAGATACCTCTGCGGACAATTTATAGTTGTCCGGCCTTGCCATCTTGCTGTGTGCTGAGAAGATATATTTCAGTTGAAGAGGCCTGAGAGGCCCTTTTTTCCTCTGGGGACACTGAAGAAACTGTGTGTTGGGCACATGCATTTGGCTGCTATCTGTCACATGAGATCAGCTGTAGAATTTTCCACTTGTAGTATCAGGCCAGCACTCAAAAAAGATCTGGATTTTGTACCATATGATATTTCAAATTTTGAGATTAGAGATACTCAACCTGTACTTATTTTGCTTATTAAAGTCCATTTATACATTACCCAAAATAAGTTTAAAACTTACCTATTTTTATAAAAGTTTCCATCCAAATTAACTGACAGAAATTGTATTTTTCTTCCCTACAATGGCAATATAGTACAATGATAGGAACACAGAACTGTAAAGCAAGTTATCTGAGTTCATCTTGACTCCAGATTTCTATGTATGTCTCATACAATAGTATACAGCTTTTTCATACCTAAGTCTGGGTATGCCATTTACTCTTGGGAATTCCTAGTTATCTCATTTGTGAAAAGAAATATTTTTCCTTCCTATTTCCCAGGTCCCAGGTGGATTGTGAAAATCAAATGAGATAGTACATGTAAAACATGTTAAGATTTAAAGTACAATGTTATTGGCATCTAATATTATTATTCTTTAAGTTGTAAGGAGCACTTTCTCTTGATACCTAAGAAGTCACTCAAGGGCAAATGTGTGTATATATATGTATCTCAATCATATCTCAATCTTAGGCTTCTACAGTTATTCAGGAGGCAGATTTCTTGGTTTGCTATTATTGCTGGTGTTTGATGACCTATATGTGCCTACCGTCTGTATCTAAACCTGGGACATACACATGAAATCACAGCAAGTACATAAAGTTAGCTGATAATAAATTTTAAGTATGTTTCCCTTATGTGAAATAGCATCCTTACCTCCTTAAGTGGAGAATTATTTCCCAGCCTCGGAGATTTCCAGCCAGGTGTTTATTACGGCTCTGCACGAGTTCCAAACCCTGTGACAAGAAATGCAAATTGAAGTATTTATGTCATTGGTTTGTAGGGCAGCCCACAGAGAAATAAAAATGTGTTTGTAAACTCTGAACATAGGTGAGCATTTTTGAAAGCCTCCAGAGCTGACAGAATGATTTCCAACTAAGAGTGTGGTATTGTTTATTACAACTTTGAGTGGCAGCCTAATATATTAAATCAGTTCAGAAGATTGTAAAATGCATTAGCATTAGCAATTTAATACCTTCAACAAATTTAACTGTCACTCA